CAGATATTTTTCTGGTGAAAAAACAGCTATAAAAGGGTTGATAGAGCATAATACCAATTATGCAAAAATTTAAACACATAATATGACTGTACACACACATAGCATGTAAGATGTACTACAGAAAGAAGATTCACACTGAAATGATGTCTGACAACTTCAGTATAATGATTACATCTGGGGAAGGAGGAAATGCAGGGGGATGGGACGTGCCATGACTTTTGTTACATGTTAATATTATATTTGATTGTAAGATAAAAGACCCAAAACAAGTATTTAATGTATGTTGATATACAATAAATTTGATTGTTAGGTACACTTGTATCTGTATGTTTTGCTCTATACTTTCTCAGCATTTTTCAAGTATTTCATAATTTAAAAAAAATAATTATGATGCCCTGTGAAATACTGGGAGAAGAAAGTTATGAGTCAACCATGGAAACCTGAGAATTATTCTTCCATTGTTAACAAGGCTGAAAATGTGGTGAAATGCTGGCTTTGACTAAGCAGCTCTGACATGGTTGAAGTTTCCTCTTCCAAATGTCGTCCTGAATGAAACCCAGTCACCACTCTCCCCAGGCCCTTTCTGCATCCTTCATCCTCAGCTACCTCCAGTCAGGAGGATGGGCCACCGGTCACACCCCTAATCAGGGAAAGCCAGTTTCTAAGACCAGATATAGGCACTGGAAAACAAAGGAAAGAAAGAAAATTTGTTGCTTTACAAAAGATATAGAGCATTCTCAAGGAAGGGGATGGGATAATATAAAATGATGGGCCCAATAAAAACCTTGATAATCATCTAGTACACCTTCCAATTTAACAAAGGAGAAAATCCTCAGAAAGAAAAACAGTCTTCTTAAGTTGCAATAGCCGATAATAGTATGGCTCAGATACAGAAGCCTTAAGCTTCCAACCCAGAAATTTTTTTAAATTGCTGTACTCACACTACTAACAATTCTAGAATTGATGGGAACCATGAGATCACCTACTCCATGTTCATTATATTACAAACACAATAACTGAGACTTCCAAGAGGCTTCTCTTGGGCAAAATTAAGAATTTCCAAGTCAGCTTCTTATCTTTTTTTAAAAACTACTAAGAAAATTAAGAATTTCACTTTAAACATAAAAATTGCCAAATTACTAAATCTGCAAATCAGTAAGCAAAATAAATTATAAGAACCACTGAGTGATCTAATTCACCACAATTATTTCTGTATGTATTATACATACTGTTGATAGCTTTTTCTAGCTTCTTCTGTAGAGAAATACTGTTCCTGCAGTCACCTGGCCTTTCCTTGAGAAATATTTCCTGTGATGAATTTGTCTCCCTTTTCTTCACTCCCATATGACTTTCACAAATTAATAAAAAATGAAATATTATGTGATAAGTGTTTTATACAATAGCAAATTCCTCAGGACCGTGCACCATGCTTGATTCATGCCAAAATAATATATGTCAGCTCATATTTACTGAGTGAAAAAAATAGTGGTCATTCACTTCTCATGTGCATATATTTCTAAGAAATAAGTATATTTAATTACTATTATTACATATTCTGAAATTCTGTAAATTCCCTCTCAACTGCAATAGTCATGTTCCATGTCCTGATTAAGCAACATTGGGTATTTTAGAAGAGATATGGCATCTCAGCTCAGATATATAAAGAGGTTTTAGACTGAAGATTTTGTACAAGATTCCACCAGTTCATCCGTTCCATCCCATATCTCCAACCACCACTATACAATGTGGCAACATTCTGCTATCCATATCTAGTTCTACCTTGCCTACAAAGTTATAAATGTTCACCTACCTTATGGTAAGCAACACTTTGATATCCTTTCATGCTTTTCTAATGCAACATAACTTATAGAGGAAAATACCATACAATTTATTATTGGACCAGTTCCTAATAACTCATATCATTCACAATGAAAATATATATAAATACAGTAATAAACAAAATATTAAATAACAAGTATTAACACTGTATAGTAACTTGTAACAGTTCATGTAAAGTGTCTTGATTTTTTTCTGAAGAATTGTGTAAAATAAGAATATTCTACATCTCATGCTGTGGTGAAAGATTCCCATTCTTAGCTTAGTACTAACATCATTTGTCTTCTCCGTGCATATTTAAATGATAATGGTGTCTTAAATAGGAAAGGGTTTGAAATGTAAATACTTCTCTATCCCTGAGTAGTATCATTGAATATCAGTACTGAAGAAAGGTCACAGACTACCATTTAACCAAATCTGAAGTAGGTTAAACTAGCTACAGTGAAAATACCAACAGTGTTAGTCACATAGCCCAACAAGTTCTTCGCAGAAATCTTAGTGACTATTACAGACCAGGCAGAACCTAGGTCCTCTTGCCATCACATACATGTATTCAGCATCACCAGGTGCTATCTGGTGTAACTTGTCTCTTGCCTCAGAGAATTCAATGGTGCACAGCGTGGTCAAGCCCCAGAAGTGCTAAAATGCCTGGGATTTATAACCCAATACTGTGTAACTGAAAGACATAGAGCACCCATTATGTTTGTTAGAAGTATAACCCCCACACACACACACACACCTACTAAATTAAGTGTCTGCATTTGGTAATATCTTAGGTAATTCCTACACACTCCAAAAAGGGAGAAACACTAGTCCAGCATCCTTCCCCCATAGCCTATAGGCCCGGATGGAGAGCTAGACTATCACCCTCAATGAAATACTGTATTTAAGCTGCAGGATCCAACAAAACAAACAGCTGACAAAGAGGAGGAAACCTCTATATGATAATACTCATGGCCAGTTTGTGCAAAATTCCCCCCAGTTCTGGCTAGTTACCAAGAGTGAGCTCCTCTGCACATCACCTGTAACTCCTTTTAGCTCTGTAGGTGTCCCTCATTCTCAAAAACACCCACAGACTTCTGCACAGGAAGTCCTACTTCGTCCAAGCCTCAGAATTGTCTTCCACCCTCGAACTTCCCTCTGAAGATTTTCCCTCTCTTAGAAGGGAAAAATCAGAAAAGCAGAACCTAGTTCTGTATTTTTCACACAGCTTGCTTAAAGCTAAGAGCATGAAATGCAATTAACACCAATATGAAATCCACAGTTGTTCATTATGAGGTTATTCAACGCTATTGTTACCTGACCTATAGGCAGCTGTTACCAACTATTTTAAATTGTCACTGAGATCTGGAATTATTACATACAAGTGAAATAAATCTGCCTTTCAGACTGGTACCGCAAAGACTGTTACCCTCTCCACTCTCAACCCCTGCCATTGCCCGCTCACATATAGCCAGTGGTCACACATCTCACTTTTCTTCATGTAATTCACTCCTTTTTTTATTATTTTTTTCCCTGAGGTTCTGCTCTGTTAGACATTTTTATTCCTGTGACCCAGGATTTGGGGCCATTGAAGACACAGTAAAGAGGTTAATCTGAGCTGAAATAGATCAGATCTGTTACACTCATTCTGATTTATCTGAGTCCTTTGCTGGTTCACCAGCTTGAAATCTTTGGCACTAGTTCAGACCATGTCTCTGGTAAAGAAATTTTTTTTTTAAAAAAAGTATTTAAAGCTTGCTCTGTTTTCATTATAAATGATATGGTAGAATCTCAAAGTGCCACAAAGTAAAATGCATATACTAAATTTGATAGCTATTCCCCCCCGGGGCTATAAAATGAAAACAAAAGCAATTTAAGGAATTATTTTCCAACTTCTGCGACACACACTCGAAAATATATTACATTTGTCAGACTTATTTTTATTCTTGGGTGCTGGAGACCCACAGGCAGCAGCTGTTTTTTGCATATGCTGATACTATTCCACAATAATAAATATAGATGTGCTGCCTGCTGGAGAGAGAGATGTGGTGTTATTCTACAGACCTACACTCTCTAGCCCCTCATCAATGTAAAAAGGTTGGAGCTGGCTGGGAGAAAGCCCTCAGTAACCAGAATACCAAGATGTGGTAGAAATCTTGCCTTCAAGGCAAAGATGGACCCCAACAGAAAAATCCCTTGCTCCTAGTAGGAGACTTTGTCATGTTTCCCAGGATTCCCTACACTTGTCCAGTATTTTGGGCTGCTCACTTATCAAAACTGATTTTAAGATGACTCAAGTTGGACATTGGTAAGAATTAAGTACACATGGGCACTAACCTAATCAATTCTAAGAGTTCTTAATGTGAAACAATCTTTGCCACAGGTGAGTTTGGTTTTGAATTGCAAGCAGGCCTAGTGGTAGAATATTGGTCAGATTTTCATCTCTGGATCAAATACCAGCTATATACAACTTAAAAGGGGAAAGGTTTTCTTCTTGTTGTTGTTGTTCATGGTTTGGTTTCACCCTATGATCCGTTGGCTCTAAGGCAGGAATATCGCGACAGGAGAGCATGGTAGGGCAAAATTGCTAAGTTCAAGGCAGCTGGGAAGCAAAACACAGAGAAATAGCACTAGCCAGATCTCCAAAGCACGTCCCCAATTGGGCCCCAGTGCATAATAGCGCACTCTGCTCTAACCAATAACAGATTAATCTACTGATGAACCCAGGACCCCCATGATCCAATCACCTGTCTACATACCTCACCATCTAGTCAAGCGACAATTAAGCTTAGCAGGTATAGCTGGATAATTTAAGTCGGAATTCTACTGATTATGATATGATTAGCATCCTTTGTCCTGCTCAGTGTAGCAGCTGGCCCTAGAACACAGGGCTCCAGAGACCTTACCAGAGCCCATGTGGAGAAAACTCTGTGGCAGCCCAGCACCAGATTCCTGAGTCTCAGTTACACAATCTTGTTTTCAGAGAGTTCCACTCCCACTCAGAAACAAACAAGGCAATATTGTTGGAGGGTCATGTCCCAAGACCCACAACGTGAATACATGGGAGGTAAAATGGTATCAACTCCTGTTTCCTTCAAGAATTTGTATATTTGGGCCAAAAGCATCAGCAATTCCTTTATGAGATGGCATATTCACTTCCGTAGATCCATACCTTGCCTTGTCTTGAGTTGCAGAAGCTGGATCTCAGGGTGAAGGCAGACGAGAAGCATGACTAGAAGCATTGTTCCTCATGAAAGAAACCTTAAAACAGATATAGGAACCATAAACACTTAAGTTTACCAAAGGGCTTCCTTTATTTCCCAGAGTCCAGAGATCTAAGAGGCTATTGGTCACAAAGGTCCTACTAAATAAATCTTCTACATTTATGGCTCTTCTGTTTCAGAAGTCTTGGGTGTTTCAAAAGAAAAGAGAAGGGAGAAAGGAAACGACACAAAAAGCCCATCCCATGTTGCTCACACACATTTGAATCTACTTGCCTGCTAACTTCAAAGGTAGCCTTTGTTTATAGATTAGTCCTCAGTATTTTTTCACTTGGCCCATAAAGTCACTCTGGCTGTCAGGACACTGACGAAGGTGGTGTGAGGGCATCACACAACTTTCATCTCGGTAACTAGTGGGACGCTGCCACTATGCATTTTCCCAGCCTTGGAGACGCAACCACTGGGGGAAATGACTGATGGATTCCACGCTGGCTCCAAAGAACCCATGTATGCTTCAATGTCTCACGAAGTTTTGGGGTTTTGTCTTTATGAAAAGATAAAAACTACCAGAAAGAAAAGCTGTATGTTTTATTTTTAAAATGTACCTTAGGTGAAATTAAAAGGCCTTTAAAAAGATTTTTGGCCATTTTTAAATTGGCTCTGACTAAAAATTTGAAGCACCACAAACCTGCTTCCCTACCACTTGCATTTGTGTGTGTGTGTGTGTGTGTGTGTGTGTGTGTGTGTGTTAAGTAACATTCTTTTGAGATTTCTGTCCAATCATTTTTGTGAACTGTCCAATCCTTGTATGAGCACTCTGGTTTTCAACTTATAGAAGGGTCATCTGCAAAGGTCTATTTACTTGTGCAAATTGATTCTTACTTGGAAATCAAAATCCATTTTTCAGAAAAATACGACTAGAAATTATATCTATAGGTCCTCCAAATCTCCTTAGCCAATAATGTATATATAACATTCTATGCTTTCAAAAAATATAGTTAAAAACAAAAATAACTTTTTCCATTTTGCATATTTTTTATCTAAACATATTTTAATTAAAGGAAAACTTGGAAGAAAATTGGAACATCAGTGACAATATAAATAATTGGACATTTTCTAAGGCTTTAAGATATAACGGTAATTAGCAAATTTCAAAACTTGTGGTGTTATTTACTTAATCAGATGTGTTAAGTACTCATGTTTATCAAATTCTGTCAGCTTTTTCCTTTTTAAATATTAACTACAAACCCAAAGAAAGAAAGAAATTAAAGGAAAAAAAGAAAAATATTTTTTGTGATGTCCTAGGAAAATAACGGTACAAAAATGCAGATACAAAAACTGCACACCCATATGAAAAAATTGATCTAATGTGTGAAATGAACTGACCTGCAGCCAGTGGAGTTGCTGAAGTCATATAATACAACCTGCGCACAACCTCCTTAGAAGGAAGATTACTGTAAAGCAAGGGTAATCAAAGTGTGGTTCGCTAAAGAGCAGTCCTTCTCTACTCCATCACCTGAGAACTCTTTAGAAATCCACATTATTTGGCCTCACCTCAGTGTTGCTAATTCGTAAGCGCCTGACCTGAGGCCCAGCTGTTTCATGTTTAGCGTGCTTCCTGAAGATCCACAAGGCTACGGAATGTGTTCCGGGTTAGATCATTTCCTACTACGACCACGAGGTGGCTCTGTTTGCCAGGCCAGGTTGTTCAATGAAGGAATTCTGGGCACTAGGGCACAGAATGGAGGCCATTCTGGTTACGTGGGTGAGAATGAGTTATCTGTTGCCTGCATTTCTAAATAATCAGGAACGTATAAATATCCATTATTCTAACTGGTCCAAACTAAGTTTATAGGACATTTCTAAGTTTGTTTTTCACGAATATGGCTTATTTGCAAAAATGGAAATTTTTATTAATATGTAGAAAACATACCTATTCTCTATACTGCACTGCCAAATACTATTACTACTACCTAAAAAATATGTATAATTCTCCCTTGACTGAGACATTTTGAATTGTTTTAGAGCTATGCCAGCAGATAGCCAGCAAAATCAGAAATGAGCCCTTAACTCAATCTTGTATACACCACCCTTTTCACCAACCCTTTCTAGAGCCACACATCATTCCTTGGGGAAACTTTTGACTGTCCTTTGGCATCCATCCCTTTATCCTTCCTAGGTTGGACTGAGTTTTATACTTAAACCCTCACTTTCTCATCCCCTGCTCTGTGCTCTGTGTACCACTCTGCCTTAAGCCTTCCAGCCCTACGCGGTGGTCAGATAGTGGAGAATTGGGACACCCATAGCCCACTCCATGGGAAATGCTAGCAAAAAGAGGGAAAACTATTGAGGCCTCTACTGCAGCAATCCTTGGATTGGGAAGATCTCTGTGTCTATACAGAGGATCTATTATCACAGTTCAAATGTTACTAAAACTCTATAAACTCTTTACAAGAAAAATGCTATAAAGATCCATCTAAATATTTTAAATCTCTTCTTTTGTTTACCAATATTCTTTATAGATAAAGAAAGATTCTTCATCCGTAAGGGTTTTTAAACAAGATTCTTCCAACATAAAAGCTTATTTCAGTATAATTGTTTTCCTTTGTAACTCTATGCCTCTTATGCATATAAAATACTAAGAAGGGCACTTTGGCTTCATCAGACCACTACAGGAGTCTGTGTATTAAAAAGATGGGGAATCCCTGGCCTATCCTGAGGGACATGACCTAAACCTCAGAGGAAATAATGAATGCTCCTCTCTGTGGGCCCCACAAAGGCATAAAGAGACAATTACCCAGTGACAAAAAGTAAACTGAGCCCTGGGCTAAGCTGAACAAGGGTAGTCATGCTCCTAAATTCAGCCAAGATCTCAGACCTCTTGGGGATAACTACTCTTGTTTCTTCCTTAGGAACACATCTCACAATAGGCCACCTTAGGCTTAGCATCATAAAGAGTGCAAAGCACGAGGCAGGAACTTAGCCCATTGGTACATATTTTTTGACTGAAATATAGCAAGCAGACTTAATTATGACCCAAATTGTGTGCCAGTATATGAGTCCAAAACTTGTGTTTTTCTCTTTTGTAAATAAACAAAATGTACTTCCAGTTTCATGAGGGCCAAATAAGAAATGTATAAGATACAAATTTTGATGGGAGAAAAGTATGTCCTATTTCAGGATAGGCTAGATACCAGGGTGTATTTCATAGATATGAAAGAGTCTTTAAGTATTTGATTGCCAAGGACCAAGGTGGATATAGCACTCTTGCCAAAGACAGGTCCTGACATTCTGATCACTTTGGCTGGGAATTCTATAGTAGGGATAGTACCTAAAAAGAATCAGACCCTTCATATGTACAGAAAATTAAAATACAATTATTTGACTGGATTCAGGAAGAATTTCACCTTCCACGGTGGAAATAAGCAATGAGGTTAAAATGTACATCCCCCCCTTAAGAATCAAACTGAATCATCACTCTGAGGGATTAAAAAATAGTTCTCCCCATTTTATGTAAAACTTTTATATTAACTGGAGCGGTATTTTCCCCCAATTCACAGTTGAAGAAACAGACAAAATCTTGTGAATGTTTCCTTGACTACGTAGGCACAGAGTGAGGAAGAATCTCTTCATGCACAATTTGTGGGTTTTTAAGCAGAGCTAAACACCTCCAAGGGCATCCTAAACAGTCCACTGGACTGTAGGACTCTCTCTCTCTTTATCATTCATTAATAAGGATAAATAATTACATGTGTTCTCACCTCTGGCAGGTGAACTGCTCTGCCTTTACTGAGGATGTCTATGTCTGTAGAGAATAAAATATCCCATCCCTAAAGCAATAAATTATTCCAAGTGCTATTTGCGTTTGGTGTCACTGATTTAGCCACCAACCATGTAGTTGGAGAAATATTTAAATTGTGTGTTAGGAATTACACCCTTCTATCTTAGCTTCCCACTTTTTGTCATAGATTGCAGACTGACTATAAAATAGTTATCATACTGGGAAAAATTATCTTAGGATACAAGTTTTAAATCAAAGGAAAAATTAGAGATACACGAGAATTATTATGTACTAGTCAGCTCTCCTGTTGCTGTGACAATGTACACAATACCCACAATTTAAGGAGTAGTGGTTTACATTTTGTTCACAGTTTCAGAGGTTTCAATCCATGGTCTACTGGCTGTGAGGCAGAAATGGAACGGTGGAATGGCCAAGAGGAAAAAGGATGCGCAACCGCGGTAGCCAGGAAGCAGACACAGAGAAGACATAAACTTCCCCTTTCAGGTCATATCCCTAGTGACCTAGCTCCAACCAGATCCCACATTGTAATAGCACCTTCAGCTATGACCTTATCAATGAATTAATTCATTGAAGGTGGGGTCAGGTTGGAAAAGGCAGATCACTGAAGTCATGCCCTGGAAGGATATAGTCACTATCCCCGACTCATCCCTTCCCTCTCTCTGTTTTATGCCTGCCACGGACTGCGCCGCTTTCCCCTGCCAGGCCCTCTGCCCTTCCGTTTGTGCTCTGGAGTCAATCAACCATACACTGAACCCTGTGAAACCATGAACCAATATAAATCTTGCCACTTTTATTTTTTTCAGTACTGAGGATTGAACTCAGAGCCCTCATACTGAGCTACATCCACAACCATTTTTACTCTTTGAGACGGGTTCTTGCTAAGTTGCTAAATTGCCCAAGCTAGGCTCAGACTTGTAGTTCTCCCTCAGTCTCATAAAATGCTGGAATTACAGGCATGTGCCACATAACTGTTAAACCTCACTTCCTTTGTAAGTGATGGTGTCGGGTACTTTGTCCCAGTGATGGGAAAGTGACCGAGGCACATTCCTTTTGTATGGTTTCCTAGATGAGGCAAAAATAACATTATTCCTCTTAGAAGGAACGACTCTCTTTCATTTGCTAGTACTTGAGGAAACAAGTATTCTCACAAGTACTGAATACACCCTTTAACTTTAAGCAGGTATCTTCGTTGGAGTCAGGAATCTGTTCTGGTATTAGGATGGACATTTTGGCAATGC